GCATGGGAAGGTCCATACCTCGTAGGAGAGAAGCTGGGCGCGGCAACTTACATTTTGGCTACGATGGATGGAAAGCAAGTGTCAAAAACGTGGAACGCCATCCACCTGAAGAAGTACTTTGAGTGACAAAAATGACCGCTGAGTCTTTTGAGGCAGATGAGCCTACTCTGGTAGCAAGCATCCCCTTTTGTTAAGGAACCCATGTAGGGCGCCGATATCATAATCGGATAGCCCAAAAATCTATTAAGGAAATCGTCGCTGAGCGTCCATTCTCTCAATTCACGACTAACTCAAAATGCTTCCCTAACAACCGCCTCTGAGTGTTGTATTGTGAAAATAGCACTTCTAAGCCAAGAAACTACCAAAAGCCACTACTCAGCGCTGGTAAATTAATGGCAGCTCGCGGGCAGAACCTAAATGCATGCTTAAGCGCTCCTAAGCGGGGGCACAAGTCTGTTAGAAACGCCACTGAGCGCCCACAACGCGGTCGTAAAAATCGAACGTTACTTAGCGTTATCAGGTCAATACGCGATCGCCCGCCGTCATGCATAGAATAAGCATACAATCGCCGACGCAGGCTTCAAAGCAGAAAACGCCGACACAGGCCACACCGCGAAGCGGTGGAATGCCTGATCGCTACTCAGCGTTTATGAGTAAACATGCAACCGCTAATGGAATTCCTATCCTAAACATGCATAACTTAGCAGCCCAAGGCATGAGCGACCGCCCAAAATATGATAAGGATAATCCAAGCACGATACGATAAATAAACAAAGCATCCCATCAAAGGCTTCTCGGAAAGAAGCCAAAAATATCCACTGCCCAAGGCAGAATGTTTGAAAGATAGAAAAAGACAAGGCAATTAAACGGTCTCCACTTGAGAAGCACCGTGCTGGTCACCATCTTGCTCCGCGACATTCTCGACAACGTCCACATTCTCGGCGGTTCCCGTAGGCTCGACAGCAGAGCTGGTAACGGGGCGATTCTCGTCAGGTGCCTCCGAGTTGACGTCGTCATCTCCCCAGAACTCGACCGCATCCCATATCGAGTTAGTGTCCCACACCACCTCGGGATATTCACGGCGGAACCAGTGGCGAATGGCAGCCACGGTGTCGCGGAGCAACTTCTGGTACTTCTCATCGTCAGCAGCCTGAAACTCTTCGGACGCCCAAAATGACTCCCTAGCTTCTTGGGCGGCCTTCAGCATATCCGCCTCTCGGGCGTCCTGCAACTCAGATTTTTCAAGCCGAAGTTTAGTCAGTTCGGCCTGAAGAGCGCTCTCCCGAGTCAAGGACTCGTTGAGTTGAGATCTCAAGCGGTTGACGTCTTCCAAGGCTTTCCTTGTTGATTCCTTCCCCGCCTCAATCTGGGCGTCCTTGTCCTTCATCAATTGCTCCTAATCCTTCAAAACCTCTTCCCGCACTTCCGTCCTTAATCCTTCGCGGCCTTCTTTAACCTGCTCCTCCAGCTTAAGGACCTTGGTCCTCTCGTCATCAATGTCACTTAGAAGGCGGTCGTTGTGCAGCATCATCTGGTTTAAACCAAATTGGGCCTACAAGGAGACAGTTGCAAAGTTAGTCCAAATTTGGTGAAGTGCAAAGAAAGCAGGCCAAAAGTTAAGCACAAACCGCAAAGAAGTAACGGGAAGTCGTAGCCGCCAGATGCTTGGTCTCTGAAGTCAGCACAGGGGTACCAGCGACGTGAGTGAAGTCCTCGGGAACCGCCAAACCCTCAGCGATCACGTGCATAGCACGTTTAGCAGCAGAAGGGTACAAGGACGCATTCGAAGAAAACGACACTGAAGTGTCGACGGAGGTCCTCTTTTGCTTCTTCGGAGCGAGGTACGCATCGATGGCAGTGACCGGCTTCTCAAACGCGACCCCCTTCAGCCTTCCCTCCCCAGCAGCCGATCTCAAGTCCTTGGAGGTGGTGATATCCAAGGGGCGTTTCACAGAAGTCCTCTGTGAAGGCTCGGACAGCTTCAAAACCCCTGAGCGGCTGGCGACCAGTTGCTTCTGGGAAGGTGAAAGAGAAGGGGCGGCGACCGTCGCGGGAGGTCCAGAAGGAGCCGTACTTGAGGCTGGGGCAGAGCTCCCGGGCTTAGGCGGTCGAGCAGCAGAAGCATATCGCCGAGCACCTGAAAAGTAAATACATAAGCGGAGCACATGAGAGATTCGTCTAACACAAGAAGGAAATAACTAACCGTGAAACCGCCGAATAATCTCTAGGGCATTATCGTCGCCCTTCGGGGGGAGGCGAATTTGTAGAGCGCTCACAAGCCGCTTCAACAGCGGTTTGAAGGGCTCCAGGCCGTCGGTGTCGTTATTCCAATCCTTTTTGTCGCCAAAAGCGAAGCCGGTCGGCGGTTCAACTTCCCCCAGATACCATGTACCCTGGGGGCGAGCAAAGAAATACTCTTTGAACCAAGGAGAATCTAGCTTGGGCGCCCCACTGACAATGCCGACGCGTGACTCTCGACGATAGCAAGACCAGCAGTTGTCCGAGCCCCTCATCTTATATAGCTGACGGAACGCATCAAACGAAAGCGTTTCACCAATCTTTTCGCAAGCGGCCCGGAAGGCTATGGAGTGGAATATTATACCCGGAGATAGCCTCCCTAATGTACAGTTAAGAAAGAGGAGCGTCCGAGTAAGAAGGTTGTCAATGGGGAAAGTCAAACCCATTCGAAGGTGCTCCACATGTATAGGAATCCAACCGCCCGGACAGGAACCAGACCGTCCCTTAGGAGAAGGAGCCGCATAATCCCACTCGGTAGGGAGCCTGTGAGCCTTTAACTGTCGAAGAACCTGGTGGGGCTTGTATGCAGCCTCGTTGGGCGGCCCCTGATCGTACGCGCTAGGGGGAACAGCCCCTCCTTCCCACATATCCTCGTGCAGCCTGACCCGGTAAACGTCATCATGGATGACTTGGAAGGCCTCCACGGGTCGTGAGTCGGACAAGGTCAGAGAAAAGGACGATTCCCCTTCTTCCTCCTCGCGGCGGTCTTCATGGGCGTCATCGGTAAGGTCAATACGAGACGGGTTATGTGGCGGTTCGCTCTCGGCTTCGGAATAACTAAAAGCCTCGAGGTTATCGCCAACCCCAGAAGACGCCCCACGCCGAGCGCCGGACATACCCGCATCAGGAGCCATTACCAGTTCTACTCCTAAAAGGTCATAACGAAGACCGTCTAAGAATCGCTACGGGAACCGCACCAAACTCCACGCGCTCAAAAAATACTAAAGTCCTAGTGCTGAAATCATATGTGCAATAGCGAGAGGAAGACTATACCTGGAGCTGTTTGCCGGGTCCCAGATTGCGGTCCGCCGGAGCCGCCCCCGGACTTCGCCGACGAGCGAGGGACACTCACGCTAGAAGTCCTAGCGTCACCAGAAGTAGCGCCGGCGTCGCTGGAAGTCAATACGGCGACCACGTCGCCGGAAAGATGCTGGTTCTGGCTGTCGGAAGGAGCAGTGCTATGCGAATCCATCGTCAGTTGCCGCCGGAATTTCCTCTTGGCTCGCTTCTGACGTCGCCGGAGTTTGGCGAGGAAGTCTGCTCGCGACGGAGACAGAGAATTGCTATCGCGCAAGTAGGAAGAGAGGGAAAAACGGGAGCACCGAGCAATCTTGGCGAGAGAGAATGAAATGGATTTTCGGGGAAAGTAGAAGAATGAAGAAGGAAAAGGGGGCAGGTATAAATAGGCAAGGCAAGAAGGTAGCGAGGCGACGGTTGAGTAGCCTAGGGCAAACCCTAGCCTACGAAATTCAAAACGCGGGCAGATGATTGGACGTGATAGCTGCCCGATGTCAGGGCCCGAAGCCCAAGGCCGACACGTGGCAGAGGAAAAAGGCGGTGCGACGCAACGCAGAAGACGAGGCGGCAAAAGGCGAAGCGCAAACAAGCGCGACCGCCTAATAGTCGACTGGCGGAAGGTGCGCGGAGCAAGAAGAGGGTGGACAGCGGAATCGCCTAAAAACCAGGCAAGAGCACAAGTAGACAACAGCGTCGTTAGGCGACCGCCCAAAAACAAAAAAAACAACAAACAAAAAGGGGGGTGAGCAGCAGAATCGCCCGACATTTAGAGCAGAGCGCACTTCTCCGCTCAAATCTACGGACGATTAGAAAATAAACGTCGACCGCTTAACGGGTAGGTAACGAGTGAGCACGAGGAAGAAAATAACGCAGGGATGAGACCAGAACAGCTGTGAAAAAGCAACTCTGTGGCGGCCAGGGGCAGAAGGGTAGACAGCGGTTATTACGGGGACCGCTCAGCCATTCGGTGTAAAGAGTAGCCGCCAAAACCCGCTGCTTTTCACGACTAAGGGGCAATTGTTGGGCCATAGCTGAGCGGTATTGGGCTTGTAAGCCCACAGAAAGCCCAAGGAGAAAGGCCCGTCGGGAGGCCCGAGAAGCAGACATGGGGAACAGAGAAAGGAGGGCGGCCGCCCTAGGATGGGACAGGTAGTAGGCCGCCTGACACAAGGAGCCGTTGCTCGGTATAGGGCGAGATCTCCCCAAGATACTCACCTCGAACACCGCAGGACTGAGCATTAATTGCCCGCCGTAGGCGGTCTAGATAAAGAAGGGTCGATCTAGGACGCCTGACAATGGCATTTAATGCCCGAAACCCAGACCAGATCACTATAAATACATTCATATCTGCATTGATGGTAAACCAACTACTCTCTCTCTCTCTAACCATAAACACAAATTCTCTATTCCATCTCTAACTTAAGCATCGGAGGGTGTCCAGGGCGACCGCCCAAGGACCCTTGTTTTGCAGGAGCATTGGAGTGCCCCATCCTCTAGAACAGACGCGTCGCTCGTTCCTCTCAAGACCGCCTAGAACATTCTAGGCTCAAACAGAAAGAGATGAACGTTATAAATGTGAATAAAAATGTATCTCTAGGTCCATGATTTCATTAGCAATCAAAACATTGTCCATTGCTCGACTCTCGAGTATATAAACTTCCTAAATGATTGATGCATTCACTCACCAGAAACTTGCCTTCCAAGTCAGTAGTAACACACACAAACCTCCAAGCCTGTGGCATCACATGTGAAATCTACATCTCTAGACCTACACTCCTCGCATTAGAAAGCCGAGCAGTTCTTTAAAGCCAAAAGCCATTGATGGGTCACCAGCTGCCACCTTCTGCATCACGAGACTGGCAGAAATCATCTGGGCGGACAATGTTGACTTCTTCAAACTTGTTGTCATCTGGACCATAAAGGATCGAACACAATCAAAAGCCCGGTCCCTCAAAGCCAAAGGTGAAATCCCCTATATATAACAAGAAGAAGTCTAACAAGAGGTGTGCTAAGGGTATAGACAACAACCTTTCCGCAAGGTGAGAGCCACTACAGCATCATTCTCAACCTGTTACAGAAGCCATGGAATGCAGAAACCTTATTTGAATGTCGTAAGCAAGATATCTGAACAACGTAAGCAAGATTAATTAGAGATCATGGGCTACCTTCTGATCAGCCAATGACTTGGAGTCCTCTAAAACTTCCCCCGACGGCATATGGGTCAGCCTCTGATCATTAACTGGTTGGTCAATGAGGACATTCAGTTTCTGCTTAATCTCAAGAACTTTCTCAGTTGGATCACATTGAATGAAGTACGTTGTCTTCATCCGCTTAACCCGAATGTACATAGCCTACAAAAGAGAATCACAAATCACTCAAAGAAATCCATAAGCTCGAATTGGCAGCTCTCTATGAATGAAGCAGATGTCCCCATTCATTGGAAGTCCTAGAATATCATCCTGGAAAGCTCATCAACTCATGCCTACATTCCCAATTCGATCCACTGAAAAGGCGAAAACTATCCAAGGACCCCAATCAGGTGAACTTAACTATATTGCTCCTAATTCCTCAATGCTACATTCTTCAATGCAACTTCCCAAAATCCAACAGCTAACTGGCACTGCCTGTCTTCCTAAAACCACACACACCAAATTGGTACCATTGAACATTTCAAAATACCAACATTCAAATTTTAGCCAAAATCCACCAAAGCTTACCATAATTCAAACAGGGCTCTTATTGAGAGAGAGGTCAGGAGCTGGCCGAAATCCCCCCCGCGCCTGCAGAAATTCAACAGGGAAAACCAGGGAATTGAATTGAATGAAAAGCAGAGGCGAAACAGGCAAAGATCTGAACTTTATTGCCACACTAGAAGAAGAATCCACTGGGACTCCGATGAGGAAAAAATCTCGAAGCAACTGCCTACTACTATTCTCATCGAAGTGAACCAGAGAAACAGGCGGACTGACCACTCAACGCCGACGGGGTTATCGCCGGGGAATCGATCTTCCGAGAGCCCTAGCAAGTAGACGCCTTTCTTTCCGCTATCTCTTGCTCTGGTTTCTCCGATGTAAATGATCTTTTCTGACGAAAGGTTAGTGGTATGTTAAAAAAAAAAAGGTTAGTGGTGAATGTCATAATTCTCTGTATTTTCATGTATTTTCCCCCTTTTTACTGGGAATTCTTTTGGCCGCAATGTCAATATATCGGGTGAATACAATATATCGAAAAAATATCGTAAAATATCGCGATATTTAATAAAATATCGTATGTCGTCAATTTCTCTTTCTCGCCAATTTATCGCGTTTCGGTTTCGGTTTTGAATGTACGAAACGTTTCGCTTTTCTACGTTTCTTCCGTCTATTTCTCTTTCTTCTAGCCGTTTCGCACGTCTGTACAGCTTTCTCCCTTAGGGCCGAGGGTTGGATAGTTGGACCCGTCCAGCATGGCCCGAATCAGGGATGAGGCCCAAAAGCTCTAACTGGGCCTGATCATTTTGACCTTACTTATCCACAGTTGTCTGGGGAGCTAGCTCTTTCAGCCCATTCAAATGCTGGCCCAGAGGGGACTTGCTTCAGAGGAACAGAGAAACCCGTTAAAATAACGAAGAAACGTGGAAGGTAGACCGAAACTCGAAACGTATTGGATCCTCAAAACCAAAATCGAAACGCGATAAATTGACGAGAAAGAGAAATAGACGATATGACAAAATATCGCGATATTTACGATATTTTGTCGATATATTGATTTCCGGCGATATTTTGACAACCATGCTAGTTCAGAACCCCAGAAGCTTCTCCGGAGAGCGACCATCTCCGTTCTTTCCCTCCCTTCCGCCGTTCCAACGGAAACGGTGATGGTTTCGAGCCTTATTGCCCTCCAATTCGCCTCAGCTCACTTAAACTGAAAGATTCAGAGATTAGTTCTTCGCTGCTTGTTCGTGGTCTTTGCAGTCTGGAAATCGCGATAGGATTTGCCCCCTCCGTAAAGCACCTCCTCAAAGTAGGATTCTTTCCTATTCCTTCGAATCAATTCAAATGATTGGATTTCTGGGTTTTCTTTCATTGTGCTGAATCGTTTCTTGCTATTCTGAATCTGGAAAGGTGATAATCCCTCAAAAAGTTCCAATCTTGTTGGTTTGCTGGTGTTTTGTGTGGGTGGCTCTGTTATGCTGATTTTGATGCTTTGAAGATGGTGTCTGTGTTATTCAATAGGGATGTAGGAGTGTTGACTGTTCAGAAAGGCAATGCTGCAGCTATGAACTTCTGCACTAGCAGACTTGGTATGTATTTTCTCCTACTCTCTCGTGAACACTTCTTATTGGGATTTAACTGGTAGTATTTGATTCGTCTCAAGCAGATGAAACTTACAAAACAGCCTCACTTCTTGACTATCAAGACCGACTTTTAACGAACTTTCCATGTCAACTTCAAAAGCTTCTTCTCAACTCTATTTGAGCATACAAAACAGCCTCAACTTCAGAAACTTCTTCACCAAGTGATTCCATTTTATTTGAGCTTATTGCTATATGACTCTATTTGAACTTACAAAACAGCCTAAACTTCAGAATCTTCTTCACCAAGTGATTCCATGTTATTTGAGCATATTCCTATGTGCTTAGCTATCTATTTCTATTTTAAACTGTCATGATCTCTATCATGATGCCTCGACGAGAATATTTGATTATTAAACTTGTGCTTTGTCTCTAATCATGCCTTATCAGGGCTCTTGTTTGTGTGACTAATAAACCTCCCCAGGTACCATTCAGAATCTGGGTGGCAGACATGGTTGGAAGTAATAGCCGAGCAGCATTATGGGCTTCACGTTGATCAGTCCACTATCACCTTTTTTATGTGCTTCATTCCTGTTGTCATTGATGCATGTGTGAAGCTTTGGGTATGTTCTAATCTAGACTCTTAATCTTTTTCATGCAATAGCTGTGATAACTTACTTGTCTGGTCTTTTCAATAATTTATCGTCAAAGCTGTATGTAGCAGTATTCTCTGCTTTACAAGTTTTCAGTTGTCATTTGATCCATTTACAATTCTCCATGTTACTGAAAAGAATATATCATTTAGCTGGCTTTTAGTGGCACAAAATTGTTTATTCTTGTGATGATAAAATGCTTGCTTTCTGATAGTGCGTCCAAATTAGAATAATGGTCTGCATAGCCGCCTAGAAACGTGAAGAGAATCTGAATCTGACTAATACTAAGATCAATAAAGCTAGTCTTTTGTTCTTTTTGTTGTTGTTGAGAGCTGCGGTGGTCTGGCTCTTCTGGTAGAGGCCAAAAGGGAGCCCTAACAGCAATTCAATCTGTATTGCTGAAGGTCTCTGGCAGAGCATCGCTTGACTCTATATGTATTTCACCCTTGTAAACTGAGAGCTGAAAACAAGAAACTAAAGGGTATTTTGCAGAGCAAATATTAGAGCATCGCTTGTTCATACATGTATATAGTGCTTTCAAGAATTGTGTGTTCTTTTCCTCTATATGATGATTACAATTATTTCGGTTTCCATGAGAATGTATAAGCTTTGATGATTTGGAAACATTGTATGAACAACATTGGTGGCGCAAGAGTTGTACATTGATATTAGTCTTGATCCTGAGGTATTTCCTCTACTGTGAGTAAATTGGTTTCTGTTTTTCTTTGTTTTGATATTGTTTTTCAATCCTCGGAAACAGAAACACTCTTTTCTCACAAGTTGGTAAGCAATGACAAGGATGCATGCAACAGAAGAACTAAAATTAGGGTTTACCTTCTCCCACCAAAAGAAAGAACTAAAATTAGCCCTGCCTCTGTTGCTATAAATAAAGCTACACATAATAGTTTCATCTCACAAGTCATATCCTGCTTTCAGATTATCAACAATACTTTCAATCTTTTCCTTTTCCTAATGGCTTCTCAAAGAACATCTTTGATCATTGCAGCCATCTTTTTCACCCTCAATTTTCATTTTCTTCCACAAACAACTGCGGTTAGAGTGCCGACCGCAAGCTCCCCATCCGAATTAATTGAACAAGTATGCAAGAAAAGTAATGACTCCAATTTGTGTGCCCAAGTTCTGCAATCTTATCCTGAAGCATCATCAGCAACTGACATAAAATCCTTAGCTAAAGCTGTCCTGGAAATTGCCAACAAGCAATCAACAACTGTGGGCAACCTCTTTACTGAATTAAGGAACAATGGAACTACCGACCCATCAATCAAGCCATCATTAGATCTATGTGCTTCTCAGTACAATGATGCAGCTGTGTTTTTCTCCCCTGTTGGCTTAGGAAATGTTGCAAAAAGTTTGGAAGTTCATTCTGCTTTAGATAATTCGGAAGGTTGCCAAACTGAATTAGCTGCAAAAGGTATCCACATTGAATCAATTGCACCTGCAATTCAAAAGTGGAAGGAACTTTATGAAGTTTCTAGTTCTGCCATCTTATATGCTGAAGATGTGTTTGGAGGCAAAGCTGCAGATGGTCAAGATGAATTTTGAATCTTATTTTTGAAACTTCAGTTGACTTAAGAAAAGTTTAGCAGAATCTGCATGTGTGGATTGTTGATGGCATGAATCTCCACTATAACTGTGTTCTTAATGGTTGTCTTGGCAGTTGCCACAAAAAGTGTTGTAAAAGGAAAATTTCCTTTAATGCTGTTGTCTTCTCTAAAGATCGAAAGATAGTCTCACCAAAAGAAAGGAGAAAGACCAGAATATATTAACTGAGTGGTTTTGTTCAAGTGGCTTCAACTTCAGCTCTTCTCATCCTTTCTACAACAAAGTCTCTTTGAATTTCTGCCTCCGACTAACGCCAGTCTTCCTCTAGATTCGGTTTCTTGCACAACCTTCTTAATTTGTCTATGTGTTCGGCTTCTTCAAAATCGTTTTCTTCACAATGACCGAACTTGGTTCTGCTATGGATGTTTGACATTATTTCATTCATGGCCTAGAAGAAATCTATGTAGATTTGTTCAAAATGGAATTATCATTTTCTACGCAAGTGTGTCACTTTCTGATGAATTAAGATTTCTCGGCCAGAATGATGATCCAGTTCTTGGCAGTCCTTACATGTCATTTGTGTTCGGTTTCTTATTATGGGACATGTTGCAGCTAGACTCAGCGAAGTCATGAGTATTTTGTGCTGGTTTGATCTTTCTGGAAGTTGAAGTAATTATTTGGAAGTTGGTGCAGAAATTATCATCGGGGTTTAGCAGACTTTGAAAAGGTGATAATATTATGATATATTGCATTGCTCTGCCATTGCACCAGACTAGCTTTGGAGTGGTGGTCAGAACCCTAGAACCTAAGATTGAGTTGCTGGTTTGTGGCATTTGTGGGTTAATGGTAGGGAATTGCTTGATGTAACGAATGTAGATGGCAGTAGTTGGTTCTCAGTAGAATTAAGGTGAACATTGGAGTTTCCATTGGACATTTGTCTCTGTGGAATTGAAAAGGCCAAGGATTTGGAAGCATTCAGGTAATGGAGAAGGGAAGAAAGGCTTCATGTTCGACACTCCATGCTAAATCAATTCATGGGTTTATGTTCTACAGTTTGCATAATCGATGATCAGCAAAATGATTTTACTTCCTTCTAGACAGAGACGACTGATAACAGTAATATCATTGTCTATTCCTTGATGACTCATTTAATGCTCCTGTAAATGCAAATCATGGGCAACTCCTATTCCTTCAATCTGATATGTACAGATCTCCATTTCCTCTGCACCATACTGATCTTCTTCCCCATCGCGTCTTCAGTTGCTAAAGAAGAAAATCTTCCATAAAAGCTTCTTGGGAAACTCAGTTAGCTCAGTAAAAGCTTCTGTAATGTTACTGAGCAACTCTGGTGGCAGACGAGAGAGAGAAAAACACAGCAGCAGTCATAATTCTGCTGGTAACTGGTAAGGTAAATCTGGTGTCATCTTCGACCTCCATTAATGTTTTCTGGTTTTCATTGTATCTTGTCCATGGAGAGCTGTACAGGGTAAGATTTCATACCGACTGATACCCTTTTGGGATCTCTTCATATAGGCCTCGGATCACATTTCAAGACCTACTTTTGCTGCCGTCTGGAACTGAGATCATGCAAGGTTTCTTCCCCTCCTTCCTCGTTGAAATGGTAAACTGTAAATATGGTGTCAAATCAAACTATTACATATTTCCTCAAATTGCTCAAGTTTGACTCTTTCACTATGCAACTTTTCATAATTACAAAAAGAAATCTTTGGTCGGCCAGTCTTGTTGAATCCTGTGCCTTACGCGGTTCTTTTTGCACTTGGTTGGTGATGCAATTAAGTTTCTTTTCCCCCCAAACAGGGTAAAGTTCATGAATAATGATTTGGTCGGTTGGTTGTCTGATTTAATGTTCTGAATTCAATCTCTAGTGAAATTAATCATGAAGCTTTCAATTGGACATAAGAAGAGTACAACCATAATAGAGCGTGCCTTTGGAGCCGCCCCTGAGAATAACAATGGAGCGTGAAATTTTCCCATCATATAAAGTATTAACTAGATTTGGGTTCGATCTCTAGTTTTCTCTCAGCTTTGGATGCTGGCAATGGCAGTAGCAGCAAAGTCCACTGTATATGGTCGTGTTTCATGATGATGGAAGTGGCCCCTTCCCAGTAGCCGTTGAAACCGCCATTTTTAACCGCTTTTCTTACCAAAATTCATTAAATAAATATGGACCCACATGGCACTGCTTAATTTATTTGCTCGCCTAAAATATTGATTGATTAGCTAATTCATTCATTTCTTCCTTGAATTGCCAGCCAAGTTTGCTAAATTCTTTTTCCTTTTCTCTCTGCTCAGTTGAGGTTTCTATACAGCGACCTTTGCACTAATCTCTGTACCACTTTCTAGGAAAGCAATCCAAGACCTCTCTCTCTCTCTTTCTCTCGGATTCCTTGTGGGTTCTTATACCTGGGAAATGATGCAGAATTCTTCTTACCGTTACCTCTGTAATCAATGAACAGCTACAAGACAAAGTAAAAAGCCGTTTCCTTTTGCTAGGCCGCTCTTAAAATACTCGTTTCTCTACCAACCCCTCAAAAAAGTGCCCACCTTTCTTGTTTCTGCCTTCTGGGTTTCAGTTGGATTCTGAGAATTTTGCTTGCAGTCGAAGAGGGTTTGCAGATTTTCAGACGACTCCTCTTCCCTCCTGCAGTTCGTCAGGTAGGTGGTGTGTTCTCTTCCTTTGTGGATCTTTGATTTTGGAAGAATCCATTCAGTTGGCCTTCTGCTTGTGTATGTGATTGAGTAAATGTTGGGGGAGATTCAATTAGCTGATTTACTAAGTTTGATGTTATGGCCAGGGATTCCTTCTCTGTTCTGTACTGTGTGAGCATGGAGAAAGAGTCAGAATCAGTGAGTTGATCAGGTCTTAAAAAATCCATTTTAACCATGGCTGAAGCTGATGACACGGTTAGTCTGAGAGAAGCACTCCACGCACAGCAGCAGATCCTGCATGACCTCTACCGCGAGCTCGACGCGGAGAGGGAAGCTGCTGCAACTGCAGCTAGTGAAACCATGTCCATGATCCTGCGCTTGCAAGGGGAGAAGTCTGTGCTGAAGATGGAAGCGAATCAGTACAAGAGAATGGCGGAGGAGAAGATGTGTCACGCTGAAGAAGCACTGGCATTGTGTGAGGACCTCATGTTTCAGAAGGAGATGGAGATTGCTTCCCTTCAGTTCCAGCTTCAGTCGTACCGAAACAGGCTCGTTGGCATGGGACTTAGTGATGAACCAGGTCAGTTGATGTCTCACAAAAGCGATACTCTGGTGGTGGAGAAGTTTGTCCATGGGAACGTGAGGAGACTCAACTCATTGCCCCATTGGAAAAGAGGTTTTGATAGAGAACAAGATGGTACCACTGCTAGAACGATTGATGAGGGAGCTGAATTCCGAGAGATTTGTGAACCGGAGAAGAAATTAGCAGTAGCTCCGAGTGGCGGAGATGCAAATTCGTACTGGGAAAAGATCAGAAAAAGATTGGACGAACGACTGAAAGAGATCCCCGGTAGAAACAAAGATCATGACGAAAGCAAGGGTACAATTTGGAGAGGTGGAACATGGTCTCCTTCGTTGTATTCACAACTTAGAGAAGGGAATGGTATTGGTAATGAGCAAGTGAAGACAATGTTGCATTGTTCAATCAATGAGAAGAAAGCTCCGAAAGATGCACCCATTGATGATCACCATGGCTTGCCTCCTCCTCCTCCTCCTCCTCCAGCTACTGCTGTTGCTCATTCGTTGGTTTCTGCGGCTGATTACCAGAAGCTGATGCGAAGAATTGAGAGGCTCGAGAGGGAGAGGAACGTTGGTGGGAGGCAGCAGGAGATTGTTTCTTGTGGAGGGCCAATTGCAGAGGAAGAAGAGACTCAACTGTTGAAGGCTATTCAGGAGCAGCTCAGTGGAATACAGAGTGAACTGAGAAGTAGAAAAGCTGAAAGAATCCCAGATGATGAACCATGTCTTGACGTTCTCCAGGAGGTATGGCTCCCCCTCTTACAACTTGTCCTTTTCACACACTAGTCAAGATTTCCATTGGCAGGTAACTGGAAGTAAATGTGTGGTATTCGAGTTGGGTCATACTGGGTCAAGTCATAAGCTGTAGCTGTTCATTAGAAACTGAGTGGCACATGACTCATCGGGTTTGGATCGGATTGTGGGTGAGGGTTCGACGAGTTAGGTCTTGATGGATGTTTGGTTGTAATGAGTTGGGTTCGAGGTTAATGGGTTTGGCCAAAAACACTAATCTCGACACACAGGGTGGGTTTGCGTCGGATCAGACAGGTCTGAGTCATTTCGGTCAGGGGGTTAAACAGGTCGAGTCTTGACGTATGTTGGGGGCATCATGTGTGACAGGGTCACTTCTCGACGGGTCGGGTTTGTGGGTTGGGTCAGAAGTTGCTTCCCCTTAATTGGAAGTGCTGCCTAATGATGGGTTGTTTTCTGTATGTGCACAGGCAATGCTATACTTCTGGCTATGAAGCAATCAAAAGGCTTCCATACATACATACTTCATCAGGTGTTTGCTTTGCTACAAGTTTCTGGTGAGAAAGTAGGGTTTAGTAGTGAAGATAATAATACAAGGGAATGATGGTGATGGTCACATTTGCCCCATACAGAAGGCATTGACTTTTGTATATGATTTATTAGGTCATGACTGATCTGTTTTGTGGTTTTGGGTTGTTGTTGTAAACAAGGTGGTGCATGTTCTCTATAGGGATTTGGCACAATTGGTTTGTACAGCTTTTGTTTGGTAATGAAATGTGAGTTCCTTTTCAGAATCTTCCCTTTTTGTATTGTCTCATTTATCTTGTTCTATTTCCTTTATTATGGATTTCTTCCAAATATGTTATTTGTGGAGTCAATTCATGCTTCACAAGTATGTCTTGATGGCTGGCTGGCATATGTATTGTTCGATTTTTATCGGATGTCCGCGAAGGAACCATATATGTTGGTCGAGAAACTTATCCAAGTATCTATTTTGACTTCATTAATGATGGATCATTGTGAAAGCTATATGAGTTTCGAATTTGGAAATCGAATTAAGGTCCTAAACTGAAGTTTTTGGCATATTTTCATATCAACCATTTAATGCGAGCTTACTAAACAAGAATTGATCACAGAAATTTAACAAATATACTAAAGATGGACAAAAAAAATAATAATACGAAGATGTGTATGTCGCAATCCATAGCGTGGATAACATGTTTGTTAAACAACTATGCAATGCAAGATTGTCAAATAGGCTCATCTAGGTTAGGCACCAAGAGCACATTTATAGACCATGTTGTTGGTTTACTTTTTTGTCATTCGTAGAAGACAAATAAGTATGTTTTCAACCGATAATAGATTGGATCGTCATAAGTGGTGTAATGAATCATAAAAGGTGAATTTGCAATGTCGAATCAAATCATTGGGTCGCAATGAATAGTGTCTAGTAACTATCGATTGGCCATACCGATCACAAATAAGTTTCTATTATCAAGCATCTACTATCGATAATAGTAACTAGTTTCTTGTCACCATTGATCATACAGATCAGAAATAAGTTTTATTATGAGGCATATACTGTTGAGGATAGTGACTACTGACTAGTTTATTGTTGCTCTTGATCGCAAAACTCTGGCCAACTTTTGATTGGATCGAAATCGGGTTGGGCCAAAAATTGTCCACACTCCTCCTGCCTTTTGCATTTGGCCCAATGGGTACATGTAAAAGCCCAGAAGCGAGCCATCTAAGGAATTTGTTTCCCTCTCCTCTTCTTCTTCTTCCTCCCTCTCTCAAGATCAAAGAAACACCGGCGGAAAGGAATACAGTAATACACATTTCGGCCCTAAACCTCTCCACAGGTCTGTCTCCATCGCCGGACTCCTCTTTCTTCTTTCTATGCCATCTATTGTCTAATTTACTTTCTTCTCCCACAGTGAAAGAACTTCAATACATTTCCCAAATTTTGGCAGCTTTATCAATTATCAATGGATTCGTTAAACCCTAGCCCCCCCAAAAAATTTAATCTTTCCGTGTTACAGAAGCACCATTCTTCATTACAAAGTGAAATCGTTTGAAGAATGTGATTCTGATTTCAGTTTTCATTGTTCCCATCGAATGCTTCGTAGATGATCATTTCTCATGCGTCTCTGTTTTGCTATTACTGGGTTTATCGGTGGCATTTATCCTTGTGTATTGTCATTTAAATGAACGTGTTCCGCTAAAGCGATGTCCTTTATTCTGTTCAGTAATTTGATTTTGACATGCCGGTCTTGGTGAATTTTCAGATGGCCTTAAGAGGTGTTTGGCAGCTGAGAAAGCTGGTTGTGAGTTACTCTGATTGGGGTGGAAGTAGCAGAGGCATCAGGTGAACTATCTCTCTCGCTGTCATACGGGCTTGGCCGAATTGTTCTGATTATGGATGATACAAATTTTCATTGCCACAGCTTCTTTGTTCTAATAAATTGAATGCTATCTGTTATGCTATTCATCTTTTGGTACAAGTGGGTTTATTGGTTTGCTCGATTGATGTTAAAAGGGCATTCATGGAGTCGCACCTTCCTTCGTTCAAAGAGGCGAATCCCCATTTGGAGCTTGAAACTGAGCTCATTCGAGGACAGCATCCTCACTTGAAGGCCTTTTACAGTAAGCCTGCTTGCTGCTTCCTCTCTTTCTCTCTTTCTGGTTCTCCAAGGCAATCACCTTGGAAATATTCTCCTTGTGTTTGTGTGTGAAAAGAGAACAACAACGACCGAGTGGTATGTGTGAGGAACATGACCCCAGAGGAAGTACTGCTGCATGCTACTCGGCTGAGGAATGCCTTAGGGAGGAAGGTGGTGAAACTGAAGACGAGGCAGGTGACCAAACACCCGAGTGTGCAAGGCACATGGACGACTGCAGTGAAGTTTTGATCCACAGAGAGAATCATTTCGAGTTCTCGAACTCAGAATCTCCCCAAAACGCACTCGTGATCGATGTTCTAGGTTCCAATATAGGACACTGGAATCATAACTACAAGTACTATGGTTGTGTTGTAGTGTCGATGATAACCTTGCAGAGGATCGATTTCCCTAGTTCTTGAGAACTCTCACCTGGGCTGGTGTGGGAACGATGTGCAGCATTGCTGATTTCTCTTTGATCAATAACCAGCCTAGTGTGTGATAATCTCAAGCACTACTTTGGATTTCATTTATGCAGATGGAACAAGGGTTTCTATGGTGTCCTTCACTGTTGTGTATCATTCTTCATACGATGTTAGAAAATTGGAGGTATTGTGTTTGCTGCGTTGTTGGTTTCTTGTTCATCGTTTTGTAGGCACGAACAAGACCCCAGATGATAAAGACATAAACTTTAAGCAAATCGTCAACATAAGTAACTGAAATAACTTCTTTCAATCAGAAGTAGACCTAGCTAGTAGCCCTAATCATTTCAAGAATAGCCGGAACAGAGGAGGCACTCATGTCTCTTTTGTACACCACGCGCAGCGCGATCGACTGATCGACAAACGAGATGAACTCTCGCATCTCCCATGGCGTTCTCTGGGCGCCTTGGCCGCCGCTGGCAACATAGTAGAAGGCATATGCAGCCTTGGTTGCGACTCCCTCTCCTTCGCTGTTTTTGACGATCTTGCTAGGAGCATGGGGCCTCCAATCCCTGTTTGTGGTCTTCAGGTTGATCTTGTGCATAGGAGGCGGTAGCTTGACGAACATGTACATCCCCCTGTCGCAGCCGTGGTGGATGCATCGGTCCTCTTTTGAAGCCTGCAAATCCTCTGGATCGTACTTGTTGAAATCGAGACAGGGAACGTCCGCCATTCTGCGTTCCAACAAATCCACCGAGCAAGTATCCCGAGTACCCATATTTCTTCTCCGGTGTTGCTCCCTTGATCGATGCAGAATCAAAAGCTTTCTTCTCCGGCAGAATCAAAAGCCAATAAATACTAGAGGCGCAGAGGAAGCAAAGGGATCTCGGTGAGAGGGTAGACTGATCAATATGATGGTATTTATAGATAAAGAATGACGGACAGAGGCTCTTTCATTTTGGAAGAATCCATTCAGTGGGCCTTCTGCCTGTGTATGTGACTAAGGAAATGTTGGGGAGATTCAATTACCTGATTTATTAAGTTCAATTTTTCTGGCCAGGGATTCATTCCCTGTTCAGTAGTGTGTGAGCATGGAGAAAGATTCCGAGTCAGTGAGTTGATCCAGACATAGAAAATTCATTTTAAGCCATGGCTGAAGCTGATGACACGGTTAGTCTGAGAGAAGCACTCCACGCACAGCAGCAGATCCTGCATGACCTCTACCTGCATGTGTCATGCTGAAGAAGCACTGGCATTGTGTGAGGACCTCATGTTTCAGAAGGAGATGGAGATTGCTTCCCTTCAGTTCCAGCTTCAGTTCCTTTTTTAGATTGCTTCCCTGTTTTAATCAAGAATGCAATGAAATTACATTGCCACCAACTAGTTTGGTTCCTTACCTTCTGTCCAAACATGCATTAGCAGTTTGGTGAAACACGGATGCATACATGATTCATTTCTCCATTCAAAGTTCTTTGCGAAACCAGCTATTGTTTGGATTTTATATGGGTGCCATAATTTGAAAAATGTTTATGCTGGACTGTCGAAACTTCACTTTTTAATGACTGTTTGCATGTGAATGAGAATTTGTGTAGTTTGGATGCTGTGTCTTGTACCATCTGTCCTACTGTTGACAGCTACATTTCATTCATGTAATTGATGGAATGGATGATGTTTCATGTTTTCATAATGAATATATTTCAGTTGCTCTACTTCTATGGATCTAGTGTATTGCTTACTCAACGCACATAGTTGAGATGTATATATCCTACAACGGTGGGGATTGTATAAAGAAACTCCTTGAGGTTTGTGCTGCCCTGATACTAAATGAAAATGTCATATTGGTTTACAATCCATTCACCTTTTTTCTGGATGTGATTTTTTCATATCTGTGATCTGAAATGCTGTCTTGCCATTTTTGTTTGTATCTTGGTGTTTGCAAAGCTGGGATCTGAAATATTGTCTTGTTTACATAGATTGAGGCCTGTGTTGGAAGTGTTAATGGACTTGCCTTATCCTAACCCAACAACCAATTTTGTGTACTCAATTGCAGAGAAGACGGAATGATCAAGTTTTCATGACTACTTAGTTCATTTCTGACAAAGTTGGCGAGTCCAAGAGGGCATATTTTGGTGTCCTGAACTCTACAGGCGTAGGATGCAGCTGCTGGTGGCAATCAGAACTTTACTTTTGATGTTCATGAAGGACCCATATATTCTATCTGCCCACAACACAAAGCAAATATCGAGGTAATGTCAAGTTCAATAGATCTATGTTTTTATATTTGCTTGAGATTGGGTTTTGGAATGTGGTGTCTGACCTCTTCCTTTTCATTTCTTCCATTTTAAATCCCCAGTTTATACTCTCAACTGCAACTGATGGAAGGATTAAAGCATGATTGTAGGATACCATGGGTTCGAGAGCTCATTACGATGATTCAGGACACTCGTCAACTACAATGGCCTATAGCACTGATAGAACAAGGCTTTCTGTGGTGTCCTTCACTGTCATTGTCATTTTGAAGCCGAGTCTTTGAGTCGTGATAGTAAAGCTGGATTGTTGTGATAACATCAAGTTGTTACATATATTTGCAGATGCTAGTTTCTGGTTATAGACTGTTGAAGTCCTGTTGTTGAGCTGGAATGCCCTGACACTCTGTGTTTGCTGTCTTGGTTTCTTGCCATCATTTTACAGGCCACATAATACTCTGCTGCTGTTGAACGGCAAGCAAAGTTGCTTGCAGGCTTCTCTTTGTCTAAGATTGCAGTGAAGAAGGAATTCCGTTAGCTGTCTAGACCAATGACAATGGTGTTAAAAGTCCTTGCAAATTTTATGGAATTAAGCTGTTAAATGCTGGACAATGGCACATCTGATGCTTCCATAGCCACTTAAGCAGCTGTTGTGAAGGCAAGAAGGGTTTCTGAAGTTGGAAAATGCCAACAGCGTTAGTTCCTTCTTCCCTTGCTTGCAAACAGAAGTATATTTCATACAGGCCCCCTCAATACCAACTTTTGCTGCTGCCTATCAGAATCCTGGAACGAGCATTGGAAATTCAGTTGCTCCTTTGTCACCTATGGTTGGAATGGTACGTAGGCATTTCATGTTTCAACCCAGATGTGTATTGAAGCAGTCTTCTGGAGCTGAGTTCTTACGTTCATGTCTTCATTGATACACTGGGTGATCACTACCTGTTGTTCGTATGCTGATACTGGGCTCCTGCCTCTTTTTAATTAGGATGTACTTGTAATGTATTTCCATCTCATAAAACTGGGCTCTTGCCTTCTGGTATAAGTGAGGTTATTGATTTGCTCAAATTGATGTTAAAAGGGCATTCATCGAGTCGCACCTTCCTTCGTTCAAAGAGGCGAATCCCCATTTGGAGGTGGAAACTGAGCTCATTCGAGGCCAGCAACCTCACTTGAAGGCCTTCTACAGTAAGTTTGTCTACTGCTTCCTCTCTTTCTGGTTCTCCAAGGCAACCACCTTGAAAGTTTTCTCCTTTGTGTTTGTGTGTGAGAACAGAACAACGAGCGGGTGGTATGCAAGAGGAAGGTGGTGAAACTGAAGACAGGGCACGTGACCAGACACACTGCAGTGAAGTTTCGATCCACGGAGAATAATTTGTAGTTCTCGAAGTCAGAATCTCCCCAAAACACACTGTGTTTTTAGTTGACTATAGGACGTATGAATCATAACTACAAGTACTATGGCAGTTTGTTGTAGTGGCGATACACTTCACAGATGAACAATCTCCTAGGACGTTGGAAATGCTTTTTGATGTGCAACATTACTGATTTCGCTTACCAAAAACTACTTGGACTCATTTGTTCAGATGGAACAATGGTTTCTATGGTGCACTTCCCGTCGTTGGTTTCTGACTGTTGTTGAGCTGGAATGCAGAGACACTGTGTTTTGCTGTGTTGTTGGTTTCCAGTTCATCATTTTACAGGATGAAGAACAACGGCATTCACTCTCTTAGCTTGTCTCGACCAGCGACAACATTACATAGTGTTCAAAGTACAAAGCAAATTCTGATGGAATTAGGCTGTACAATAAAGACACTAACTTTAAGCAAATTGAAACAGAGGTAACCAAAACAAAAGAAACAGAGGATCCTTCCAAAGAAGGAAAGAAACAGGGGAGGCACTCCCTAGGCCCTCTTGTACACCACGCGCAGCGCGATCCTCTCGTCAGCCACTGAGGCAAACTCGTGCATTCGCCATAGCGTCCTCTCGGAGCGACGGCCATTGATCCCACTGCCGTCGTCGGTAGGCTTGAGATAGTAGAAGGACAGTGAAGCCTTGCTCACCACTTCTTCTCCTTTGCTGTTTTTGACCATCTTCCTCGAATCATTGGGCCTCCAATACCCGTTCCCGGTCTTCCTGTCAAGGAACGTCATCGGAGGCGGGCGTTTGACGAACATGTACATCGTCCCGTCGCCGTCGACGGAGACGTCTTCTTTTGCCGTCGCCGATAAATCCTCCGGATCGTAGTAGTTGTAATCGAGGCCAGGAAGATCATCTCCGCCGCTCACGGCAGCGATTCTGCGTTCCAGCAAATCCACCGGGTAAGCATCCTGATGAGTAGCCATATTCTCTGTCGCGACTCTGTTCTCCTTTCGCTCCCCCTCGATCGATCAGAAAAGGCCAAGAACAAAACCTAATCGGCTAATCCCTAGGTTGAAGAAGAATGCACTATTTTAATTTATTAATTAATAGTGGGGTTGGGCTTGGGCTGGGCTACGGTTTTAATTCTAAGCATAAAATCGAGTGGGCTTTTTTTTATTCATTGTTCGGCCCACAAAGGTTTACCCGGTTTATTTCACAAACAGAAAGATTGGAAGTGAGTAGTCTGCTGGAAAAAATCCCAGAATACACCAATTATTAAAAAAAATTACCAAAATACAGTACTTATAAAAGTAATTCCCAAAATACAGCAGTTTCAACATCACTGTCTTTGTCTAAGACAGTGATGTTGATCACCGCTTTTGTCCAAAGCAGTGAAGCAGCGGGGTACGCATCACCGCCTTGGACAAAAGCGGGGAATGCATCATCGCTGTGGTCAAAAGCGGTGATACGTTCCCCGCTTTTGTCCAAGGCGGGGATTGTATCCCTGCTTTTGACAAAAGCGGGGAACGTATCCCCGCTTTGGACATCAACAGTGAAGCCATCACCGCTTTTGTCCACAGCAGTGATTGCCCCCACGTTTTACACAGCCCTGGTAGGTGGACAGGTAGGTAACAGCTACCTAGCCATCACCGCTGTTGACTAAGGCGATGATGGTTCACCGCCTTTGTCCAAAGCGGTGATTGCCCCCAATTTTTTCCTATAAAAAGCCACGCCCTCTCTTCCCTCCTGCTGCCAAACACTCCTGCTGCCAAACAGAAAATTAGTACCAAAATTATCGTTTTGTTAAGTCGTTTTCGCAGCTGGTTCCTCCGTAGTTTACTGCTCAAGAAACTCGTCGGGATTCGGTATGTTAGAATTATGTATTGTTTACATTTTGATTATGTGCTAGAATTAGGTATGTTAGAATTATATATTTAGATTAATGATATATGTTAGTTAGTTAGTACTGAATTTAGATTAATTTGTTTAGTTATCATGATAGATCGGGATTGAGTATGTTATAAGTATGTATTTTTTACATGTTGATGTGTTAGTAATTATACTGTCTGTATTTAGTGAATTGCGGTTATTGGAAAATATGTTATGATATTATTTAGTTTAATTATGATATGATAGATGTTAGTTAGCTAGTTATGAATTTAGATGAATTTGTTTAGTTTTCTCATAATAGATAAATTAGTTGCATTTTATTATCGCTTTGGATGATATTGTTTTTGTATCCAAGATGTACTAATTATATACTATACTTAATTATTATAAATTGCAGACATGGGTAAATTTAAGAAGTTTCGGCTTATTATTTATTGGAATGGTCGGGTGACAAACTCGAACATTGGGATCGACTATGAAGATGGCGAATCCAGTTCGCTTACAATTGAGTCGAGATTCTCGTGGCAAGAACTCCATGACAGGTGTGCAGAAAGGACTTGTACGGATGGGCAAATGAGAGTTCGTCAAATTACTTACCGGTATCCCAACATGAGTGCTGACGGAGTCATGTACGAAAGAGTTGACATAAATGACGATGACGACGCGAACATGATGACACAGTTCATATCTGAGAACGGGGTGCGGCTTGCAGAGGTGTATGTCGAGACCGAGCCGGTCGGTGAAACTCATTCTCACCAGTATTCTTATGATGATGGTTTTGCAGGAGGGTATGGCTGGGGTGGTAGTTCAAGTAACTACGGAGCAGGTTCTTCTGCCGGAGGGTATGGTTGGGGAGGTACTTCAAGCAACTACGGAGGAGGTAGTTCTGAAGGAGGTGTTGGGTGGGAAGAATACCTGCCACATGGTGGTGAGACTGCCGTCGATATCGTTCAGCCCGACGGTGATCAATGGCCTGCTTGGGGTCCAGAGTGGGGTGACATTGAAAACACCCTTCGAACTGGGCGTACTTCGCATGACCAAGAAGGCGATGCTGGTTATGCTGCTAACGATGACCCTCCTTCGCCGAGCTATCCATTCGCCTCCAGTGACGATGAAAGTGAGGAAGATTTGAGATCAGTCAGCGAGGAGGAAGATGCGGACGATAATTAGTAAAAATTATATCCACTCCACCTAATAAATTGAAAATCATGACATTCAATATTTTTACCTGGTTCCACCAAGGCTTATCAAATTCAGCACGATAAAACAGTAAAGAGTGCTCGGCCTGGTGGTCGTTAGTATTTGCTCCGATCCACCTAATTAAGCAAAAGTACATATATAAGCAATTTTTAAATTAGCTAAATACGATTTGGTTAGAATAAATCCAAATTCACTTACTTGGAAGATATCTAAATTCACTAAAATACTAGAATTGCAGACCTAAAATGTCTCTAAATTCGCTTAGTTGGAAGATAGCTAAGTTCACTAAAATACTATAATTGCATACTTAAAATTGCATACTAAGTTCACTAAGTTCACTAAAATCTAAATTCACCTAACTAGCTACCATTGCATATCTAAAATAAATTCAACTTAAATTGAACTTACTTGAAACCATATGGGGGATTTGCTACAAATCGTAGCTCATCATCTGGCAACCAGAATTCCCGAGGGTCTTGAGGTGCGAGAAACGGAAGATGCTCCCATGCCCAGAGTTGAAGTATGAACATCGCACCACCAGCTTGTTTCGCTCCCAACCTCGAGCAAGTACACAACTCTCGGTAGATTCCAGCCAAGACGGCCGACCCCCAACTTTTTCTCCCGATCTCGTCCCAGTCACCGAGGAGCATAGGGAACCACATGCCTTGTATCCACTTATTTGACTTGTCGGGGAACAGAAACCCACCAACCAAGGCAATTAGGTATACACGTGCATACCGCTCCACCTGATCTTCAGGAGTATCCGGGCCTATATTAACCTCCAATTGGATGTGGTCAACAAGCCACGGGATCGATACTTGCCCCGCATTCAGTGGTGGATGTCCAACCCCTTCGACGGGCGTGGTGGTCGGCATGTTGAACCCCAGACGTTCCTGAATCAATGGCCCCCAACCATCTTCTGGTTTTCTCGAGCTGTCGATGATGGCATCTCCGGTGATCGGGAGCCCGGTGAGGATGGCAACATCTTTGAGGGTGATCGTCATTTCACCCTCGGGAAAGTGGAAGGTATGCAGCTCAGGGCGCCATCGCTCTGCCATTGCCGTCAGCAGATCGTTGTCAATATCTAGCCTCATAAAGTGCCTCAAATTGTGCAATCCCGCCCTCTCTAGATAGGGATGCAGTCGAGGATGCCAACGGGGCAATCGACATGTACCTCGATGACTGATGGGAATAAGTGATTCCTACAAAACAAAAAACACAATATTGTCAGTCAATAGAAAGCAAAATAAAAACTTAGAAAGCAAAATAAAAACTTTAAAACTATTGAAATAATTGTAGTGTATCTACCGGATTATTGTTCCAAATTGAACGAGAGCGATGTTGATCTTGCCCGGTTAAATACCTTCGATCCCTTGGGCCAGGATCGATATACAATCTAGGGTCGTATATCTCAGCACCCATCTATAAAAAAATATGAAATCAAATCAATTTAAATTTTAGCACCCATGTAAAAAAAAAGCACAAAAGAATTAAATAAATTTACGTACTCTCAAAGCCTCTTCGTCCATTTTTTGCCGAAAAGCTAGCGAGAGTATCGACAAAACAACAAAACAAAAACTCTAGTAATTCTTTCTGATGCGGAAGATCGGACTTAGCCGCAACCACAGAGCATACTTAGAACGAAACTAGAGTGAAAAATGGAGGGAGAAAGAAGTATGAAGTGGTGGTGTGGTTTGGAATGAGAGGGGGGATGGGTATTTATAGGGTTTGGGGCTGGGAAAACACCTGGCCAGTTATCACCGCCCCAAACAAACACAGGGCCATCACCGCCTTTGTTGGACGCGGTGATGGGCAGGGATCGCTGACGTGGCCTCTCCTGATGCGTCGTATTGTGGAGAAAAACCACAATCCGCGCATAACTGCATCCGACGGCAGCGGTGAAGGCGCGGGGTGGGGCGCGGATCGCTGACGTGGAAAGCGGGGCTATCACCGCTTTGGTCTTCAGCGGTGAAGTGCCCGCGCGCGTCCACGTCAGCGATCCGCGCCCCTTCACCGCTGTTGGATCCAACGGTGAAGGCTTCACTGCCTGCCACATCAACGGTGATGCCATCACTGTCGTCCTTGACAGCGATGATGGCATCACTGCTTTGGTTCAAAGCGGTGATAACATCACTGCTTTTGTCTAAAGCGGTGATGTATCATCGTTTTAGACCAAAACGGTGATCAACATCACTGTCTTAGACAAAGACAGTGATGTTGAAACTGCTGTATTTTGGGAATTACTTTTATAAGTACTGTATTTTGGTAATTTTTTTTAATAATTGGTGTATTCTGGGATTTTTTCCTAGTCTGCTACTCGATCAAAGACTCTGGAAATTTTCGTTCTCACTTCTTCGTTTCTTGAATTCTTCGAGGTGTTTAGGGGTTTACAACATGTCGAAGAAAAGGAAGAGGGAGGATGAACAACTGGACCTTGTGGTTGCCCCGCCGAAGACTTTTCCGGTGGAATTGGTTGAGAAAATTTTGCTCAGCCTGCCGGCGAACAAGTGGCGAATGCGTTCCCTTGGGATCAGCAAGTCGTACAAGAATCGTCTGTCAGAACCGGATTTCTTGCGCGACTTTCTCTTCCAGAATTCCGATTTCTACAACGATTCACAGCTTGTCATCCAGCGTCAGAGCAATGATCGCACTCTTCACTCATTTCACTCGTTCCGCTCACTCCGTCTCATCGATGGCAAACCGCCAGAGGATATGAAATCCGCTGGGCATGCAGGGGGATTTTCTGCTTATGTAATGGCAATGCCGGCGGCGACATCTCCACCATTGCTTTGTGGAACCCTAACACGGCCCAGACCAAGGTACTTCCGGATTCCATCCTGACTGATAGTGTGAAGCCGTATGGCTTGAGCTTGGAGAGCATTGGGTTTGGTTTTGATCCAAATTCAAACGACTACAAAGTCCTAAGATGCATGTCTTGCATTGATGATGATGAAATTGGTGGTGAGTATGAGCACTTTCTAGAGCTGTACAGCCTAAGGATGAATTCATGGAGGCTTCTTGATATGGACGGCTATCATTGCCCATACAATATCCCGTATTCTGTGCCATCCAATGATGGGAGATGGTTCCATTGGTGCTGTGAGGATTTCGAACTTGCTCGCTTTGACATGAGCAGTGAAGATTATGACTGGTATGGCTTCGTATCTCCAGTAATGATGGATCCCTCACCTATGATATCCTTCTCCATGGTCAAAGGTTTGTTGGTCGTCATGTTTATAAAGGAAGATTCCTTGGAGACCTGGATATCCGTTGATTACGAGAAAAGGATGCTGCAACTGTCCTCCGTTAAGCTGAACCAGTTGGATGCGTGTCCTGTGAATATATGGAAGGATGGAAGGGGGTTTCTCCAGAGAAGTGGCGACGGAAAGCTCGTGGTCATTGATCTTCTCAGTGGGAATATTATTCCCACAGAGCTTCAAATTGAAGGAGATTGGACTTCTTTCAAGTTGTTTCCATATACTCCATCTCCAGTTTCGTTGGCATGATGGGTTCTAATTGACTAATTGTAGTAAGTGCCACTTCTATCCATACATTAGAGGGTTAACGCTTGGGTTCTAGTTCAATGTAATTACGAACTGATCTCCTACCTTTCTTGGCTGCTGCCGATTAGTGAGGAGCTGTTTAAGAAAAGTACGCTGTTGCTGGCATTTGATAACTTTAGGTGTGCGTTGCTGTTTACTGCATTTTGTGGTAGTTTCTTGTTTGATGGAATTATTTATAATTGTGCGTGGGATAGCCTTCATACTTAGGATGTGCTTGTCATGTGTTTCCATCCCATGAAACTGATCTCCTACCTTTCTTTCATGTCATTGAGTGCTACATTCTTGTTGCTATTTTTGCAATTCTATTGGGTCAATAATCTGCCTACTGCATATGCAAGGGTTCCTTCCTAGATGATCTACCTAATAATTTTTGTGCAATGAATCAAGGGTCTGTAGTGAAGAGTATGGACTTTAATCCATGGCAGCAGATATTACTTCTAAAACAGATGTGTTTACTCCCTCCCCGAGGGAATTTATTCATATCTTTAGGATGTAGGTGATTTGAAGCTTTGTTCAAGAACTTGGTTCCTGATGGAGTTGAGTCAAACCACTACACATGTCACTCCTCGTTGTGGCAGTAAAGATGGGAGCTTTGGAAATTGATCTTGGCCGTTATAGGTTGCCAAATCTCCTTCAATTCAATTATGCAATTGAAACCTTTCTTTCTGCAAGTGTTTTGAAAATTGGTCATATTCTGATTGTTCTAAAATTCGAGCACAAATCACCACTTCTTTCCTTTCATAATCATCTTGTTTACTTGAAAGTCCTGTTTTAATCAGGAATGCAATGAAATTGCACAGCCACCAAGTTGTTTGGTTCTTCTTACCTATTGTCCAAGCATGCATCAGTAGCTTAGTGAAACTCGGATGCATACATGATTCATCTTTCCATTCAAAGTTCTTTGTAGGTGTTTGAGTTTCTCTACTGCGAATGGTTTCAGTTTCAAGAAATTTGATAAGCATGAGAATTTTGATGAGATCAGATGTTTAAGATAGTTTCAATAAGTTGACGAACAATGTCGTCATTCGAATGATGACACCATGGTCATAGAAGGAAAGATGAATAGAGACAAGTTTCTGAGTAGCTATATTGTGGCATAGTAGCCTTTATGGAGCAAGAAAGGTTGCCCATATAGAGACAATGGATCAAACATGGAGAGAGAGTTATCATTAGGGATGTAGACGATGAAAGAATAAGCATCCAAAATCAGGGAGGAATTTGTAATCAGATTGAGTCTGAAAAAGCTGTGTTCTTCTCAGTACAAGCAATCAACAACTGTGGGCAACCTCTTTACTGAATTAAGGAACAATGGAACTACCGACCCATCAATCAAGCCATCCTTAGATCTATGTGCTTCTCAGTACAATGATGCAGCTGTGGTCTTCTCCCCTGTTGGGTTTAGGAAATGTTGCAAAAAGTTTGGAAGTTCATTCTGCTTTAGATGATTCGGAAGGTTGCCAAACTGAATTAGCTGCAAAAGGTGTCAACATTGAATCAATTGCACCTGAAATTCAAAAGTGGAAGGAACTTTATGAAGTTTCTAGTTCTGCCATCTTATATGCTGAAGATGTGTTTGGAGGCAAAGCTGCAGATGGTCAAGATGAATTTTGATTCTTATTTTTTAAACTTCTGTTGCCTTGAGAAAAGTTGAGCAGAATCTTCATGTGTGGATTGTTGATGGCATGAATCTCCATTATATATAGCTGTGTTATTAATAGTCAAAACAGGAATCAGAATCTTCCAAAATGAATTTTCAAAACAGGAATTATTATTGGATATACAGGATTTTGGGAATAGCTTACCTTCCCTTCTCAGCAATCCACGTACATTTTGAAATTATGTCTATGATAAAAGTTGTATTCCTTAAAATTTTATGCGAAATAAAAAAAATTTCATGCCGTTTGGATTTTGGAGCACAAAGTTATGGTTGTCCAAAGCTTGACGAAATCGGAAAAACGATCGTTCGGGGTAGCAAACGACATTTTTTGGGACGAAGGCGGGACCAAACCACCTTCGGCAGTCTTCGGCTTGCAAGATCTCAAAAGGTTATGCGGAATCCAAAAAAATTCGTGACGATCGGATACCCGAACACAAAGATACGTTCGTTTGAAGTTTCCACCTAGGTTAGGATTTTTCAAAAAAAAAAAAAGACCGCATGGTGGGGGTGCGGTCTTCAAAATCGCCCCTACCAGTGCGGTTTTAATCGAAAAACGCGCCCCCGGGTGGCGGTTTTGCAGAAAGGGTGTTGTCTTTGGAATTTTTCGAAATTGTGTGCTATTTTTGAAAAAAAAATAAACAATACTATTTTTGAAAAAATTCCTGAGGATGGATAGTGACTAGTTTATTGTTGCACTTGCTCTTGATCGCAAAACTCTGGCCAACTGATTGGTTCGAAATCGGGTTGGGCCAAAAATTGTCCACACTCCTCCTGCCTTTTGCATTTGGCCCAATGGGTACATGTAAAAGCCCAGAAGCGAGCCATCTAAGGAATTTGTTTCCCTCTCCTCTGCGCGCTGCTGCTGCTTCTTCTTCTTCTTCCCTCTCTCAAGATCAAAGAAACACCGGAGGAAAGGAGTACACACGTCGGCCCTAAACCTCCCCACAGGTCTGTCTCCATCCCCGGACTCCTCTTTCTTCTTTCTATGCCATCTATTGTCTAATTTACTTCTTCTCCCACAGTGAAAGAACTTCAATACCTTTCCCAAATTTTGGCAGCTTTATCAATTATCAATGGATTCGTTAAACCCTAGCCCCCAAAATTTTTAATCTTTCCGTGATCCAGAAGCACCATTCTTCATTACAAAGTGAAATCGTTTGAAGAATGTGATTCTGATTGCAGTTTTCATTGTTCCCAATGAATGCTTCGTAGATGATCATTTCTCATGCGTCTCTGTTTTGCTATTACTGGGTTTATCGGTGGCATTTATCCATGTGTATTGGCATTTAAATGAACGTGTTCTGTTAAAGGGATGCCCTTTTCCTCTTCAGTAATTTGACTTGGTGAAAATTTTCAGATGGCCTTAAGAGGTGTTTGGCATCTGAGAAAGCTTGTTGTGAGTTACTCTGATTGGGGTGGAAGTAGCAGAGGCATCAGGTCAACTATCTCTCTCGCTGTCATACGGGCTTGGCCGAATTGTTCGGATTATGGATGATACAAATTTTCATTGCCACAGCTTCTTTGTTCTAATAAATTGAATGCTATCTATTATGCTATTCATCTTTTGGTACAAGTGGGTTTATTGGTTTGCTCGATTGATGTTAAAAGGGCATTCATGGATTCGCGCATTCCTTCGTTCAAAGAGGCGAATCCCCATTTGGAGCTTGAAACTGAGCTCATTCGAGGACAGCATCCTCACTTGAAAGCCTTTTGCAGTAAGCCTGCTTGCTGCTTCCTCTCTTTCTCTCTTTCTGGTTCTCCAAGGCAATCACCTTGGAAATATTCTCGTTGTGTTTGTGTGTGAAAAGAGAACAACAACGAGCGGGTGGTATGTGTGAGGAACATGACCCCAGAGGAAGTACTGCTGCATGCTACTCGGCTGAGGAATGCCTTGGGGCGGAAGGTGGTGAAACTGAAGACGAGGCATGTGACCAAACACCTGAGTGTGCAACAAAGAATCATCTGCAGTTCTCGAACTCAGAATCTCCCCAAAACACACTCGTGATTGATGTTTTAGGTCTCAATACAGGACATTGGAATCGTAACTACAAGTACTATGGTAGTGTTGTAGTGTCGGTGATAACCTTGCAGAGGATCGATTTCCCTAGTTCTTGAGAACTCTCACCCAGGCTAGTGTGGGAACGATGTGCAGCATTGCTGATTTCTCTTTTTATCAATAACCAGCATAGTGTGTGATATTCTCGAGTACTACATTGGATTCATTTATGCAGATGGAACAAAGGTTTCTATGGTGTCCTTCACTGTTGGGCATCATTCTTCGTACTAGGGGTGTTCAAATGGTTACCATTGTTATAACCAAACCAGATAAGGCTAAATTCCATTAACCATGGAATACAATATCATAACCAAATCGTCCAAACTAATACAACAACCAAATTGACCAAACTAAAGTTTAATCAGTTTGGTTAATTGGTTAACCAGATTAACCAATATAAAATCACATTATCATTGACGATGAAAATTTTCCGGTTAATGCAACAATTCGGAATTTATATAATGAATAAAACATAACAATCAACACGTAGTTATAGTTGACAATACCTTATTTTGGCCCAAACTATGACCATATAATCAATTTTGGCCCGTGGTTTCAGAAATTAACATCCTGGCCTCAACTATGTAATATCTAGACTCAATTGTCCTGACACATAGTTTGACCATTATTTTGGATGGTCAACACCATTAACCGTTAGTCAACACGCCATGTCATTGTCTCGTCAGCATAAAAATTATTAAAAAAATGCAAATTCAAATTAATTTTCTAATTTTTATTATTTATGATCAAATTAACCAAACAATTTTATAAAAAACATATAATAAATTTAATTTTTTAACTTTTGGGTAATTTGAAAGATAAATATTATAAATTAACCAAAAATCATCAAATTATTTATATTTTTAAAATTACCCAAAAATAAAAATATCATTATATCATATTTTTATACTTATAAAATTTAATTTTATAAGATTTGGTTAATTTATAAAATTTATCATTTTCAAATATCCCAAAAAATAAAAAAGTAATTTTATTTATATTTATTAAAATTAATTTTTTGGTTAATTTGAAAATGATAAACAATAAAAATTAGGAAAATAATTTGCATTTGAATTTTTTTAAAGATTTTTAGGCTGACATGGCGTGTTGACTAACGGTCAACGGTGTTGATCGTCCAAATTGACGGTCAAACCATGTGTGGGGCCAATTGAGTCTATATGCTGCATAGTTGATGCCAGGATGTTAATTTCTGAAATCACGGGCCAAAGTTGATTATATGGTCATAGTTCGGGCCAAAATAATGTATTAACCCTTAACGAAAATACATGCAACTAAGACAATTATCTTACGATTAGTATAGAAGTATTCACCTAACAAAAATTTATGACAATGGTATGGGTTAATGAATTGTTGTGTTTGTGTAAATTGACTTAGTCTCTTAGCAATTATCATAGGCTGAAAATGACCTTCCTTTCAAGTTTTCATCCATCATAATGTATGAAATTTATCTAAATTAGGCGTCCATATGTTGTGGTCTACATTTTACATATACAAATATACACTATATGAGCAATATTGAGCTTTATATTTTATGAGTCTAAAAGGATGAACGTTAACTCTTGAGTGGTTATGCAAAGTATTAAGTATGTGTATATAATAAATGTTAGATATATGACTAATACTTAACTGGTTAATTTGGTTTGACTGGTTAGGAGTGCCTGAAACCAAACCGAACAACCTAAACCAAACAAGCTAAAAACTTTAACCAAACCAAACCAATTATCCAAATTAACCAAACCAAATTATCCAAATAGTATTGGTTAAAACGGTTACCACGGTAACCAAACCGTTTGAACACCCCTACTTCGTACTATGTTAGAAGTAGGCAAATGGCATTGTATTGTGAAAGAGACGTTAAAGCATACATAATAAAGAAAATAACAAGACCCCAGATGGAAAAAGACATTAACTTTAAGCAAATCATCAACATAACTAACTGAAACAAAGCAACTTCTTGTTGCCTTCACTTAGAAGTAGACATAAGCCCTAATCCCTTTCAAGAATAGAAGAAACAGGGGAGGCACTCCTGTTTCTGTAGGTGACCTGCAGCGCGATCGACGGATCAACAAACGCGACGAACTCTTGCGTCTCCCATGGCGTCCTCTTGGCCCCGCCCCTGGTGTAACAGTAGTAGGAATATGAAGCCACGGTCGCCACTTCCTCTCCTTTGCTGTTCTTGACGATCTTGATCGAACCGTGGGGCCTCGATTCCCCGTGGGTCTTCTGGGTGATCTTGGGCGTAGGAGGCGGTTCTTTGACGAACCTGTACATCCTCCCGTCGGCATGGATACGTCCACCGAGTAAAGATCCTGCCGTCGGCAAACCCTCTGGATCGTACTTGGCCGCGATTTTGCGTTCCAGCATATCCACCGAGTAAGCATCCTGAGCAGACATATTTCTTTCTTTCTTCCTTCCGCTCCCTCGATCGATGCAGAATCAAAAGCAGGTAATTACTACTAGTACAGACGCAGAGGAAGCGATGGTTTATATGGAGAGGGGAAAAGCTTCACTCGCAATTTGAATTTAGGTTTTGCGTGATTCGATACGGAATTGCACTGTCCAGTCCAGTGTCCAGAATTCATTTTGTCTTTCTTATAACGGACTGCGGGCCTGGAAATACGTTGGGCCCACTTTGCGGTTGTTGGTTAACTTGGGCCCGCTGAGCGAGACGCTAATATGTGATTTTCACGTCTGAGTAAAAAAAAAAAAAAATTTGGTGGTACACGCTTGGTTCAAACTTATGCAGGTCGCAACTTAAGGTTGGATTTTGGAATTGGAGATAGAACTTTGAGGAAAAGAAGTCAGCGGTAGAGGGCTAGACTTCAGACTTCAAAGGGCTTGACGAATACAGGGGAATAGGATCTTAACCTCAAGGTTGTAACGGGTTCGGTTGGAATCCGGGAATTGGTTTCTCTGTTCTTTCTTCACATCATTTCTTTCTTCGTTTTAGTTTGTGCTTGCTAGGAGAAATCGTAATAAAAGTGTCTCCCAGATTAGCAGTGCTATCCCCGGGATGTGGAGTAGCTATAGTTCTTAAAAAAAAAAAGGAGTAGCTATAGTTAGTGAACCACGTTAAAAATATCGTGTTCATCTCTTTACCTTCCTTGCACTCTGTTTCTGTAGCTTTGTTTGAGTCAGGCTCTTTCTCCAAAGGGAGAAGACGAGTTCTGCCAAATTACTTCTTGTGGGCTTTCCATTTCCCTCCAAGCCTATTGTCTTATAGGTGTTTTAAGTTGGTTTATAATTCTGTTTTTATTAGTTGGGCTTTTGTGTTGGTTAAGCCCATATAGTCTGGTAGAAGAAATCAGACTAGCTCTCTAGCCACCTCTCTCAATCGTCTTTCTTCCCAAGTGCCTAAACTCTTCCACGTCTTTCCTCTCCGCATTGCAGAGTCAAAATCCCCGTTTGCTTGTGAGATTTTAAAAAATGAAGGATTTTGGTAAAATCTTGGATTTTGGGATTGAAGAATTATGTTGGATTTTGTTATGTTGGATTTTAAAAATTGCATGTTTGCTTGTTGGATTTCAAAATGGACTTTACTATCTTGGATTAATGGGTTAAATGATTAGTTTACCTTCTTATCCTTCTTTCTATCATCATAAAGTTTTTTTTTTGTTAAGGATACTTTGGTCATTCATTGTTACTGAGGTCCCGGATTTTGGCACTTCTCAAAATCATACCTCATGAGGTGGGATTTTATAATCCGTGGGGTCCACGGATTTTGAGCAAAAGAAAATCCCACATTTGTGGGCTCTACGGATTTAGGCTAACTTCATTTTTATCAACAAACATAGATTTGAACCATAATCCAACACATATGGGATTTTGAGGCAAAATCCCTCGTCAAAATCCTACAAGCAAACAACCTCTAAAAATCAAAGCCAAATCCCTAACCCACTTTCACTTAATTTAATCAATAAAGAAAAAATAGATTGTTCTTCATCCTACTCCTCTACTACCTCTATCTACCTATTCAAACTAAGGATATCAAGTGTTTGCGACGATGAAGAAGAGTAAGGCAGAGGGCCATGTCGGGGGCTTAGATAGAGATGTTTTTGGTGGAGATGCTAAACTCGTGATTGATAAGTGTCTAGCCCGAGACATGTGGGATGTTATGATAATTCACCTCAGTTCCATCTAGCCATTGTAGATCATAGGAACAATAGGACAGGCGACTCACTTAGTGGCCTGTAAAGTTCTATATTTGTCGCCACAAAATCTTCGAGGATTCGACTTCGTTTTGTGGTTTCACAGGTAATACTTCTTCGTGTATTTGAATACTTCCTTTTAATATTTTTTTGGTAGAACTTCCTTTTAATCGAGTGATCCCTTGCAATTTTTTTAATATTTTGACGTCATTATTAATAAAAATAAAAGGCCTCGATACTCATTGAAAGTGGGCAAGTTTTCGGCTGGACTACGGTTTCAATTATAAACATAAAATCAAGTGGGCTTTAATTATAATTTACTGTCGAGCCCACAAATTTACCCGTTCATTCCACAAACAGAAATCTTGAAGTGAGTAGTTTGCTACTTGATCAAAAATGCAGAAAATTTTCCTTCTCGCTTGTTCATTTCTTGCATTCTTGATTCTTGGAAGGTTTAGGAGTTTACAGCGAAAAACATATATATTCTTCCATTTCACAATGTCGAAGAAAAGGAAGAGGGAGGATGAACAACAGTCAGAGGAGCTTGCGGTTACCCGGTCAGTGAATTTGCCGGAGGATATCATCAATGAAATTCTACTCAATCTGTCGTCGACTAAGTCGCTCGCTCGCTTCCATGAAATCAACTAGTCATACAAGAGTCGACTATCCTCTCTTCCCTTCATACGCGAGTTTCTGTTCCACAATCCTGATTTCTTTAACAATTCACAGCTTGTAATTCAGCGTCGCAAGAAGGACCGGGTTGTGTACTCTTTCCACTCC